TCTATAATAGATTCTTTAATAATGTATGGTATATCCTACAGTTACAGCATATGTTTGAACACATAATATTGTTTTCAAAACCTCTTAAAAGAAAAGGAAAATATTCATGATACAATAGGCAAAATTAAGATATGAATCTCTGTTAAAATGGTGATAAATTCATTAAAACATTGTATATATAGGCTGCAAAACAAAACACTTAAAGAAAATATAATAAAATATGGACACATGCTTGATGATAATAAGTTGAAAATGATTATTTCAAACATTTTTGTTCTCCCCAAATTTTATAAATTGAAAAGCAGGCATTTTTTTTACATTACTTCTTTGCCTTCCTACAACTTTAAAACTATAGGAAAATGCTCTCCAGGTCACATTAGGATATCTTTCTTTGACCCAATATCATTTGTGTTGTTTTCATTGTTTGTGCAACAAAAAGAAAACAGAAATGAATTTTCACAACACTTCAGTTTTCCCTTCTTTCTAGTACCTGGCATCCATTCTCTCATTCCTCTAAAATATATGACTGCCTGTGACATCCACACACTCTTCTGGGAACTGGGAGTGTTTAATTTAGGTCGTACTCGTGTGACTGACAGAAGTGTGGTGACTGCTCAGGTGACAGTGCATAAAACTAATTTTCCACATTGCTGGTTTTTGTTATTTGTTAATTATTTTATTAAAAATCCCAATATGACATTAAAGGAACTGGAACATTCTAAATCATCTATCTTTATGTATCATTTTAACTAGTTATGATTTCATACTTGTACTTTATATTCCGTTTAAGAACAATTTTGCTTTTACAAATAATCTTTTTAATGATAATTTTTAGTTATAACATAAGTTACACCAACTTACGTAACTATTTCCTTTTTGTTGAATATTTATGTGTTTTCAGTGGGTGCTATTTTAAGGGAAGAAGGCTATAAATGATGCACCATCCCTATACATCCTTAAAGTATTTAGATCTCTTCCTTTTATCATTTGGATTTGTGGTGTCCCACAAACTCTCCTGTGTTTGTGCAAGAATGTTCATGGTTGAAATTATTAGATTTTGAGAGCTGTAACCTAGTGAATGATTAATCCATTTGATGGACTAATGATTTGAATGGACTCGCTGGGTGGTGATCATAGGCAGGTAGGGTGTGGCTGGAGAAAGTAGGTTCCTGGGGGTATTCCTTGGGGGTTTATATTTCCCTGGTGCCTTTCTTGCTCACTCTGCTTTCTGGCTACCATGAGCTGAGAAGCTTATCTCCACCACGCCCTTCCGCCATGATGTTCTGTCCTTACCGCAGGCCCAGAACAATGGAGTCACCTATGCATGGAAGGAACATCTCTAACTATGAGCCAAAGTAAACTTTAACTCCTTTAAATAGTTCTTGTCAGATATTTTGGTTACAGCCACAAAAAGCTAGCCAACACATTGCCTTAATGCAAAAACCCAATAGGTAACATTAGATTTCCTGTTTAATAAACTATCACGATATTTGGAATAGAGTTATTCAAAAGAAAGAAATAAAGACAGACCACTGGTAGTTCAATATCAAAGAAATCGGTTTGTGAATTTCTCTTCCTATTTTGGATGTTCTCTCAGATTTTTAAAGACAAATTTATTCTGCTTATTCAGTTTCAACTCAAGTACCCTCCTCAGAGGAATCTCCACCAACAGCCCAATTAAAACTAGGACAATCTTTCCAGTTTTTCTTGCCCACATTTCTCCATCTATTCCCTAGAATTTCATTCTCACAAGCTGTAAATACTTCACCTGTTCACTTGCTAATGCCTGTCTAGCCAACCGAAATATATAGTTCCTGCTATGCATAGAACTTGCTGGTTGTATTCATTGCTTTATTCTCAGTGCTTGGTGTGTGAAGCAATAGAGATGAACATATATTTGCAAATAAATCAGTGAGAAATATATGAATGATTGCATATCCCAAACCACTATAACAGAAAGGGCGGCCTGTTGTCCTAGCATTAACCCTGAATTAATTAACTCTGGGTTGTGGCATGTGGTGCCATACGGCTGAGTTTCAAACAACATCAGGAGCTGACCAATGGAGCAGGACTCTTAAACTCCCAAACTGTCCCTATTTCTCCCCCATAAGGAAGTCTCTATGGAGGTTTTTAGTGGACTTTTCTGCAAGTAGTCTTGGTCATAGGCCTCTGGACTGACCCAGCAGGTTCCTTAACTTCAAATCCATCTTGAAAGGCCCTGAACTCCTTAAGGGAGTTGTTCTCTGCACACCTCAGCTTTGTCTACCAAGGGCAGGGACCAACTAGAGATCCTCTCCCATCTTATCCCCAAGGGCATGACCTGTTTGCATACCTGAGGCAAATCCTGGAATGAGTTGACTTTCATATTCACAGGCAGATACTGGCTGCTTTGACACCAAGACAGGGGTGGAGGGTGGTGGGGAAGTTAACCTCATATCATCAACAGCTCTTATGTTCACACGTGGTGTAATCTACTACGTCTGCAGCATATTGGAAGCTGCTCGTTTAAAAGTAAATGTGTATGAACCTCTTGAAAATTGTATAGTATCTATCCTCACCAAGTCCTAATTCAATAGGGAGGTCTTTGTCCAAGGATTTCCAGGTTAAGAGAAGCACAGTTCTGTTTTCATAGTTCTGTTTTCAATGTGATTCATAGCTCCCAGGTAGAGATTGTGTGAGATGAGGCACATTCTGTCCACCAAGTCTGATAAATCAATGAAACATACATAGAACATAGAAGGTATTTATGTTGATGCTATACTTGGCTAAGCTCTGGCCAAGGACTGTATTAGCTTCCTAGGGCTGCTATATGTGACAAATAACCAGTGGCTTAACCCTAGAAATGTGTCATCTCATAGGTTCTGGAAACAGAAACCCAAGGACCTGGCGTCACCAGGGTTGGTCCCTTCCGAGTGCCTTGAGGAAGAATCTATTCCATGCCTCCCTCCCAGAATGTGATGTGGGGCTGGCAGTCTTTGGCCTTTCTGGGCTTGTGGGAGCATCACTCTGATCTCTGCCTTCGTCTTCACAGTGTTTTCCTTATGTGCCTGTTTGTACCCAGGTCTTCCTCTTTAAAAGAACACTAGTTATATTGTATTAGGGACCCACTCTATTTTGCTGTGACTTTATTCTAACTTTACTATGATCCTGTTTCCAGTAAGTTCTCATTCTGAGGTACTGGAGGATTAGGGTTTCAACCAATGAATTTGGAGAGAACTGGGGGGTTAGGGTTTCAACCAATGAATTGAACCTATAGCAATAGAATTAAGGTCTCTGTTTATCATGTGTAAAGTTCCTAATCATCAGGTAAATGTTCCTTACATATTTATGTATGCTAAATAATCACTAGCACATTAAAGATTTACTGTGTATTAGGGACTACCTTAGCCAAATTACAAGTGTTTATTTAATATTCTCAGGACTAAATGAGTCAATGGAGACTCTGAAAGTACTTTTCATAGGGCTGTTCTGTCAAGAGAGGATGCAGGATCACACCCTGACCTGTCAAAATCCAGAGCCCAAGCTGGGACTCTCTCACTGGATAATAGTGGCTGGATGTGTTTCCAACCCAAGGGTGTGAACCTCTGGGTGATTAATGTTTAACTGCTGCTTGCCATGTTAGGAGTTTTCTACCATTTGTTGAGATTTGCAGGGGCCTGTCAGGAGCCAAAAGAACTCTTGGAGTAGAATGTTTTATTATCAAGTCTGGTAGCTTAGTGTCATTACCCCCAAAATTAGAATTGAGTCTCATGGGGGGAGGCAGAAGCAAAACTGATGCCTGTATCCTTACAACATCTGCATGATTAAAAATGGAATGTCAAAAGTAAGATATGATCCTTTACATTTTCATGCTGAAAAGAAATTAAGGAGAAACTATCTGTACAAGAGGTATTTTTAAAAGAAATGTTTTACTTTTTAAATGAGTAAAATATTTCCTTTAAAAATGACATTTGATTTTATTATGAAATTGATGTATTGATTTTTTAAAAAATCAAGACAACAAAGTTTTTAAAGATGATTAAGATGACCTATAACCCACTAGGCAAGATGACCACTGAAGATGTTTGATAACTATCATTTGGACACCATTTCTATGTCTGTTTTTATGGTTTTTAGAATTGTTTTTTCAGGAGTTTACTTATCTAGTGAATAGTATCCTGGAATCTAGTTTTTACTTCCCATTAAGCCAATATCATCGAAAATATTTTAATTATCATGCAGTCTGCTGTGTTTGGTTAACCATAATATATTGAACCAATCTCCTATGGTTTGACATTTACTGTATACACAAATTCATTTTAAAGAAAAAACTCTTGAAATACAAAACTTCTTTGAATTCATTACATTTGACCACATTTAGTAAAAAGTCATGAATACTACCATCAGATTTAAATAGACTTTTTAAATGGATGTTTATATAAATCAAACCTCGGAGGTGTTCCAATCTCCACTTAGTCTCATGGAGAGAGCAATTTGTTGTGTTGTATAGCTCCGCTTTGCAGAAAATAAGCCCTAGGAAATTCATAAGCAGGACGGCCTTCTCTAAACAGACTAGTTTTCCAAAATTTTATGTCTAATAATTTTAAAAGATATAAAATACAAGTCAGAATATTCAATACTTTAGCAGACCAAATTGCAAGAATTCCCAGGGGTGTTCATTTGGAGAATATGAATATTAAGATATGCAAATAAGGCCACCAACTCCCTCTCCACTGTTTCATCAAATCTATGACAACACCAACTGAAACAAGCACCAGCATTTTATGTATGACTAAGGAAGAACAAGCACTGTCAATTAAGCAGTGATATGCCATCAGTTGTAACAAGTGAAAGAGTATGTCTAGAAATTGATGAAACAAATTGCATTCCATGCTAACATCCTCAATGCTGTTGGTAAGAAGGAGAATCTGAAGGAGCCATGTGCTCTTTCTCTGTTCAGGGAGCTCTTGTTGGTGGTTCTTTAACAGACTGTGTCTCTCTGTCTCCCATGTCTCCCCCAGGTGTGGGCAGCAGCTTAGGCAGGACCAGCAGCAGCTCCTGGAAGGGATCTCGGAGTTGGACATCCAGACAGGGGGAGTCCCCTCCCAGCTGTTGGTGCACGGGGCCCTGGCCTTCCCTCTGGGACTGGATGCCTCCCTCAACTGCTTCCTTGCAGCTGCCCACTATGGCCGTGGCCGGGTGGTTGTGGCTGCCCATGAGGGCATGCTCTGCGCTCCCAAGATGGAGCTCTTCCTGCTCAATGCTGTGCGCTGGCTGGCCAGAGACCAGAAGGGCAAAATTGGGGTGAACTCAAGTCTAAAAGATCTGCATGCCCTACTGTTGAAGCACGGCCTGCAGAGCAGGTTGGAGTCCCATCTGACCAGTGACTTATGTGTGTACTGCTGCAAGGCTTACAGTGACAAAGAGGCCAAGGAGCTCCAGGAGTTTGTGGCCGAGGGTGGGGGACTGATGATCGGAGGTCAGGCCTGGTGGTGGGCCTCCCAGAACCCAGGCCGCTCTGCCTTGGCTGCTTTCCCTGGCAATGTCATCCTCAACTGCTTTGGCCTCAGTATCCTGCCTCGGACTCTCAGCCCAGGCTGTTTCCCTGTCCCCACTCCTGAGATGAGGAGCTACCACTTCCGTAAGGCAATGTCCGAGTTCCGGACTGTGTTGAACCACGGTACTGAGAACCTGGAAAAGAGTCACTTGGCAAAGCTGGGAGTAGATGGGGCAGCCTTCCTCCAGATTCCTGCCCAGGGGGTTCCTACTTATGCCTCCTTACACCGGCTCCTGAGGAAGACGCTGCAACAGGCAGGCCTCCCAGCTGTGAGCAAGGAAAAGCCGGTTGCCCGTGACTCCTGTGAGGCCACCATGCTCTGTCTGGCCACAGAGTTGGCACACTCTGGGACCGACTGCTCCCAACTGGCTCAGGGCCTCGGCACGCAGACCTGCCCCTCCAGGATGCAGGCTTCAGCAGACCCCATCACTGTGGAGATCAATGGGACTAACCCAGGTATGGCGTGGACAGAGAGTGCCAGGGCATCCTAGACCAGGGGCAGGTGGGCTGGGCTCGCTTCACAGGACCTTGCAGGTCCTGAACCTCAGGAAAGCTGGCTCTATGCTTTATCAGGTACTTGCAAGAAGACAGGAGTTGGGGTTTTCATGAAGCCTTAGGAGAGGTGAATCATCCTGGGAGAACTGGACCTGTAGAGCGGCTGGGAGGCTGCAGGTAGAGATGGAGTCCTGTGGAACAAACAACTCAGCCTTCTCTTTCACTTGTCAGGCAATGAGGACTCCTGGGTGAGCACCGGGCTCTACCTCCTGGAAGGACAAAATGCAGAAATCTCCCTGCCTGCAGCTACAGCCTCTGCTGGCCTGAAGGTAGGGACCCCCACATCAGCACCTCCCCAACTGCCTCCTCCTCACCCTCTGTCCTTCCTGGAACTGCACAGGGAAGGACTATTTTGCCCCTTTTAGATTTCACAGATGAAACAGCCAAATTTAAGGGAGCCTACATGAGTGACTGAGGTCCCTACTGTAATATCAAGTCTGGAGCTCACCACTAAGCCTTCTGCTTTCTACACACACGTGATTAATTTACTGGAAAATGAGGATGTGAAGGAGGAGAAGCACCTATATCACATTGCCACTCACCCATTTCCCAGATAATACAGGCCTCTCAATTTTACCTCTCTACCTTGACAACCAGAAGAATTGGCCTGATCCAGTCATCCACAAATATAGGCCCTATATTCCAAGTTTAAATTCTGCCTCTCATCTGAGTCACTTCCCACCACAGTGAGGGTCTCTTTTTTGTCAGTGTCCTCTCTGGAGTTCACTTCCATCAATCCTAAGAAAAGCAACCAAGGCCTCCAGACAAAACAAGAAGCAGAGCTCTGCACAAAAAGGAGAGGAACAATCCTTTGCACCCGACCCCCAACCCCAGGCCAGATTTCTCCACTTCCAATTGAACCTCCTCTCTGCTCCCAAGGGACAGAGTAGGATCCCAGGGTTCATTCCCACATCAGAATCTCCATGCTGCTTAGGCTTGGTGTGACACCCAGGACCCTGCCTGGTAATAGGACACCAAAAGCCCCTTCTCCACTCAGCCTTGGGGTTATTATGTCTGATGCCTCACATACTAAGGTCTGATGGAAATCTACTATGGAACCTGAAAAATGTATCATGGTTATCTTTTAGTTCCTATGACTTTGGAGTGATAACAATTTCATAGTTTTCCATGCATCACTCATGGAAAAGGGAAGTCAGAGTTTTGTGTCTAACAGCCTCTGTCCACACAGCCCCATGGGCAGCCCCATACCTGGGTCATAGGAACTCTAGTTCCCCTACACATGGTGGAATTGCCTGTCCAGGTTCAGATTGGCTGCCACACGGATGACCTGAGCAAGGCTAAGAAGCTCTCCCGAGCCCCTGTGGTGACTCACCAGTGCTGTATGGACAGGACCCAACGGTCAGTCTCCTGCCTCTGGGGTGGCCTCCTCTATGTCATCGTTCCCAAGGGCAGTCAACTTGGCCCTGTGTCTGTCACCATCAAGGGGGCTGTGCCTGCCCCTTACTACAAGTTGGGTAAGTGGACTGGGAATTTGGGGAAGAATGGTCGCTGCGGGTCCCATGGTGACTATGGGCAGGTTGCTAGAGGGGCAAGGGAGAAAGGTCAGTGGAGAAGGAGGGAGAACTATTAGAGGTAAACCTGGAGACTGTAGATACCGCCCACCTGTGTGTCCATGGAGACTTCAGGGCAGAAACAGAGAGGGTCTGGAAGCTCATCCTTCCCCTTCATGAAGGCTGTTGGCCTTCACGACAGTGGTTCATTATCTCAGTGTTTTTCTCCGGGAGTTCGAGTTGTATTTTTCACCTCAAAGGGAAGTTGGGGTGGAGGGTGGCAGGTACATGTTATGTGTTCCCAGATAAGACATCCCTGGAGGAGTGGAGGAGCTGTATCCAGGAGAACCCGGCTCCCTGGGGAGAGCTGGCCACAGACAACATCATCCTGACAGTGCCCACTGCAAACCTCCAGGCCCTGGAGGACCCCGCGCCTGCGCTCCACCTCTGGGATAAGATGATGCAGTCTATATCCCGGCTGGCGGCCCAGCCTTTCCCTTTCCGCAGACCTGAGAGGATTGTTGCTGATGTGCAGATCTCAGCTGGTGAGTGTCCTGGGAGAAAGTGCCAAGTCAGTGGACATCATTTGTTTGTTATTTTGTCTCTAATCCCCAAGATGTGTAAAGCATAAATCGACTAGTAAACTAAAAGGGACGAACACATAAAAGACACAGACCTTGATGGGGATGAAAAATGTTGACTTTAAAAAAAGTGAAATGGACATCTTACAAGGTGAGATAACACAGATTGGTAGAACAACATCAGAAACTTAGAGCTAGGAGTTCCCAGATGTCGGTGAGGGTCATTTCAAGGAGAACATGCACAATGATCTTTTTCTTTCAAACCTAAGTGAGAATTCATATGAAGAGGGGAAATGAGTGAAGGGGTTTGTATTACATACTGAATGGTTTACAGCAAAGAGGACCAGAAGGAGAAATTAGACCTTCTGTTTCCCACATGGAGAGAATTTATTTGGATTTCAATATTTTTATCTTTTAAAAAGGATGACACTATTTCTGTCATAGAGTAAGAATCTGGACACCAGTTTTTTTACCGGGAGGAAGAAAAGCCAACACTGAATTAGCCTCCAGGATCTCAGATCCAGCCAGACACAGGACATGATGTTATATACTTTCACAAAAAAATGAAGCATTGAATTCCACCAAGGACAATTGTATAAAATATATCCCTACTACTCAGGACCAGAGCTAGGAGAAGGGCAAAGTTGAGGGTGGGAGAGGCTGGGAAGGGGAGCACACACTTTAGCAAAGCTATCTAATTCCCAACCAGCACCAAAAAGTTCCAGAGTGTGCAGAAGTGAAGAGAGGAGGGTTGCATGGACCTCACTTTCATGCTCCGTCTCTTTCTTCTATATTCCCAGGCTGGATGCACTCAGGGTACCCCATCATGTGCCACCTGGAATCTGTGAAGGAGCTCATTGATGAGACAGTCATGAGAAGATCAGGTCTGTGGGGACCCATCCACGAGCTGGGCCACAACCAGCAAAGACATGGATGGGAGTTCCCTCCACACACCACTGAGGCCACCTGCAACCTCTGGTCAGTCTACGTGCATGAGACAGTCCTGGGGATCCCCAGGGCTCAGGCCCACCCTGCTCTGAACCCCGCAGAACGAGAGAAGAGAATCAAGGCATATGTGGGAAAGGGAGCTCCGCTGAGTGACTGGAATGTGTGGACAGCTCTGGAAACATATCTACAGGTACTGAGCAGAAATTCAGGGATTTGGAGCTTCCTGACTCCTCAGACTTATAGCTTCCAGGCTCCCAGGAGCTCTCCAACTCCTCATGACCCCACCTATCCTGTACCCTGTGTGGTGAGAGAATGACCTCTGTTGTCGTGCATAAGAGAAAAGGAAATGTATCCTGGTAGAGTCAGAAGCCTATTTATCTCCATTATACAGCATCTTGGTTAATAGCAGAAGCTCTGGGTTAGACTTTCCTGAGATTGGATCACAGCTCTTCTACCCACGTGTTCAGTCCATGGTCCCCTAACAGATGTTCATCAAGGTGTTTGTTGTGCTGTGCTGGTTTTCCTCTCCTCAGTTGTATGGGTCCAGTGAGTGTCCATCCCTTAGACAGCAGGGGCTCTTGACAGGGTACCTACCTGCATCACAAGGAGGCTTTGGAGGAGAAAGAGATGCTAACAAGCTTCTCAGTCTTCCTTCACCCCACTGGAGCCAAAATCATTTTTAAATATATAAATAACCAGTCAAATCGGTAGGAGAAGAGCAAAGTCACTGAGCAAATCTGTTTTCTATGGCATAAGCAGAGGTCCCTGTCCCCCATCCCCAAACCCTGCTTTTAGCTTTGATGTTTTCAAGCTGTCAGAGCCACTGCCAATACCAGATCTCTTATGAGGTAACTGCAGCCCTATAGGCAGATGCTGTATGGCCCACTCTTCACAGAGGCACACACCAAATTAAGGAATTTAAGCAGCCTATTCAGCAGCACCACTTAAGTGATGGACCAGGAATGTAATCAGGAGTTAATGCAAACCCCAGGCTCTTGTCCTTCCTTAGCCTCTCTAACTTTGATTCTCATTCACTAATTTTCTGAAGAGTGAATATGAGGCGGTCCCTCTTCATCCATTGCTGCCATTTCATACAGCCTGCCCAAGGGCCACAGGACAGCAGGCCTTCATGGTAGGCTGTCACTGAAGTGGAAGTTAAAACCCGAATTCTGCTCTGCCCACCTACCACTGGCTGTGGAGTGCTGAACCTCAGTTCACAAAAGCTCTGGAGAGACCTGCTTCCCACCTTGGAGCCTGAGGGTTGGTGTCGGGACGGGCAGATGCTTCTCTTCCCCACCTGCTGGAGGTCCCCGTGTCACTCCCGCTGTGGTCGCCGCTGCTCAGGTCCTCATGGTTTTCCTCTCAGTGTGGCTCAGTAGCCTCCTCCTAAGTTGCTCCAGCATCTTGCCTGAATCCCCAACCATCCCCCTCCATGCTTCTCCCTAAATAGGGTCAATATTCCATCTTTAAAACTCTTAAAATATTCCTTTTATGTACAGGAGAAAGGTGAGGGTGCTTAGTGGGGCACAGAGGCCCTTAACCTTGGGACATTTGCCAGCACCTGCAGCTGCACCTCCTGATTTTCTTTCAGCCTGTATCTTTCAGTGCACCAAGCTGCTCACAGTTGCAAGCACATCTCTCTGCTTCAGGCCTCTGGGCCTCCCTTGTTTCCGTCCTGCAGCCAGAACGTGCTTGAACATCTTGCCTGTTGCCTGTCAAGCCACCTGTCAGAATTCAACTGTGTTGTCCCCTTCTCCTACTCAGCTGCCTCTCGGAAAGACAGCCCTTTAGGGATGTGCCTCCTTGAATGTCCATCTTTCCCACTGATCTGTGCCCTCTAGTGGGACATGAGCTCTCTACCACTTTTTCCTGTCACAGTGTCTGGCACACCATAGATACCTCAAGAGAGTTATATGTTTAATCCTGTTGTATTGATTGATGCATTAATTAATAAGCCACAGGCAGGAGGACTGTCAGGCCAGTGCAGCAAGAACAGAGGAACAATCGTGAGGCCACAATAGGGAGACTGTGAGAGAGGCCCCACTCGAGGGTCATCTATCCTTGGGCTTGTACACTCCAGATTCAGAGAATTCCCATCCATCAAATGGGGGTGGCACTGGGAAACACCCAGATCCCTGCTAATTCCAAATTTGTGTCATCTTCACCCCTCTATAAAATAGGAGTCACTCTCATTTGGAGCCCCTTGCAAAATGTCTAAATATTTCCTTTTGTGTCCCAAAGACAGTGTTGCACACAGTACAATATGGTACCTGGCGATAGTCACAGTCCTGAGGTGGCTAATTAAAAAAATAAGGATAATCACCATGTCCGAAACGTGTTGGAGGTCACCTGCTTTTGGGGTCCCAGTCCTCCCTCTAACTGTGTAGGATGTAATAGTCTCCCTCATCGCAGTCTAGATCCAATCTATCCTGATATTAAGACCTGGGATATTAAATTCTTTATCAAAAATAATGACAGTAACTGTAGCTTATTGAATATTTACCACTTTACACATACTGAGTTTCCCCTGAGCCCCTCCACTAGGTTCATGGGGTACAGTTTCTTGGCTGAGAGCCAGAATGAGCCCCCAAGGCTGAGTTTCTGTGTGGGGGCAGAGTGGGGAGGGGAAGCAATAGGAGGGACACTGACAATGAAGGGGACCAATGGCTGTAAGTGAGATGGACCTGTCAGCCCCCGAGCTGCAGTCCCTTGGTGAACCTGACCCCACCCTGCCCTTCTTTCTCTTCCAGCTCCAAGAGGCCTTTGGGTGGGAGCCCTTCACCCAGCTCTTTGCTGAGTACCAGACCTTCTCTGGCCTCCCCAGAGACAACGTGAGCAAGATGAATCTGTGGGTGAAGAAGTTCTCTGAAACAGTGCAGAAGAACCTGGTTCCTTTCTTTGAGGCCTGGGGCTGGCCTGTCCAGAGGGAAGTGGCTGATAGCCTGTCCTCCCTGCCCTGTTGGCAGGAAAACCCCATGAGCATATACAGTGGCACCAGGAGGTAAAGGGCATGTAGCAGCCAGGAGGGACACGAGGAACTGTCACTTCACCAACTCCAGAACCACCATGTGGCTGGAATCTCCCAGTATCTTATAGAGTGTCCTGCTTCCCAGCCTGCCTTCCAGATGGTGGTCTGGGTCCGAAGCCAAAACTGAACCAGCTTCCTCAGGAATGTACCTGTGTTTTTGGTTTTTCTATTCTTTGGTTTGTTTTTTTCCTCATATTTCCACGCTCAGCAGCAGCCTCACTTAACCATCAGCTCCAGCAGAGGGTTCCCCCTTGACATCCTGAGGCATCTGTTTTCCACCAGTAGTTCTAAAGACCAGGGGTTCCCATGAGAACCTGATATCGTGCCTTCAAACCTGCTGTCCCCAACCAAGGCCCCAATTCTTTGTGCTTTGAGAAGCTTTCTGATAGCAAGAGAGACAGGTGATGGTGTGCTGAGAGCCCTTAGCTACTTGGTTCAATGCCTTCCTACTGGCTCCTCCTGGATAATTGTGGCCATGTTTATGCACAGTCACATTCTGCAAATGTAGGGGTGGACTTTGCTTTCTTGCAGTCACACAGTGGTCTGTCAATCCAGTTTAGTGTGGGCATTCTGAGCACTGAATCACACATTGGTGTTGACCCCCCTGAGGTTAGCCTTCCGTTCTTGTCGAAAGACATTTAGAGAATATCAAAGTTGCTCCCAGACATGGTCTCAGTAAGGATTATTGCTGTTATCTGAACCCAGCCTACACTTATTTCTCCCACCTCTGGACGGATTCTCAGGTATAACTAACCCAAAGAAAAATGGCGTCCATTCAAATAAATGGTACAGAGCTATTGGTGTTTGGTCTTTTGAGTTAGTTAATCTTGTGATACTTTTTATTTTCTACCAAAGACAAATTTCACATTAGCAATCTCTGCCACATTCCCTTTTGTTCTTAGCATAAAACAGGTGTCTGACTCCTCTGATTACCCAGGAATCAAGGCACTGTCTTGATGGTGAAGCCCACAGACATAGTTGTCTTCACTCTGAAACAAGATGCCTGGGGATAGCAGAACAAATCCTCAGTTACCCACAATCCAGCACCCTCAGAGCTTTCCTTAACGTCAGTATGACCTATCCTAACTCTTTGGTTAGGAAGGCTTCTAATTAGAGATTTGCCTCCAGGATTAATGGGTGTTTGGTTTGCCTACCCATTTTCTCAAGCATGTTTTTGTTTGTTTCATAAATCATTTCATAAGCTCCGCTGAGAGCAGAGGAGAACTAACCCAGAGAAAGTCTCCTCTGAATCCCCTCAGCTCACTTCCTCAGGTCTAGGATACCTTCCCTGCATTTCCCTAGGGTCCTCTGCCCAGTGCTTTGCATATGAAAGGTGCTCATGAAAGAACAGTAGTGACCCCTGACACATGGCCAGTGTTGTGGTTTGGGTGTGAGGTATCTCCCCAAATCTCACAGGTGAGAAAATGCAAAAAGAGTCAGAGAGGAAATAATTGGATTATAGGCATCTTAACCCAATCAGTGAATTGATCCCCTGAGGGGGATTAACCAAGTGGTAACTGAGGTGGGTAGAATGTGGCTGGAGGAGGTGGACACTGGGACGTGGATTTGGAGTATGTATTTTGAATCTGGCAAGTGGAGTGTCTCTCTGCTTCCTGATCATCATGTGAGCCAGTTCCCTCTGCCAAACTCTGCCACCATGATGTTCTGCCTCACCTTGAGCCCCAAGGAATGGAGCCAGCTGTCCATGGACTGAGGCCTCTGAAAACATGAGCCTCCAAATTAAAGTTTCCTCTTCTGAAATTGTTATGGTCAGGTCTTTTAGTCACAGCAGGAAAAAAAAAAAAAAGCTGACTAAAACAAGGAGTGAATGTGTCCCCAGCCCTGTGTGAAGTGTTTTCAACACATTATCACATGTGCTCTTCCAACAGAACCCCCCTAGTTTTCTAGATCAGAAAACTCATACTTAGGGATATTAAATAACTTCTCTGAAGCTCCCGAGGCAATAAGCAGAGAGCCAGGGCTTGTCTGAAGCCCACAGCAGTGAAAACTTACAGAAATTACCCTACAGAACTTTGGTTTCTTGTGGTTTTCTCTCTCATAATTCACTTCATTACTTTGTCACAAGCTCCTTCAGTTTTTCTTTGGGATCACCATCCTCAATACAAAGAGTCCCCTTGGTTTGGAAGGGCCAACCCACACGGGAAGTAGGAGTGGGCACAGTACCCAGGTCTAGCCCATGTAGTCATGCATATCTTCTGACCTGGATTAGTCCAGGGGATGGAAAGGTGGTTCACGTCAGAAAATGAAGTGCTTGCAGTGGATTTTTATTAGAAATACTTGGAAGCCCACATTTCCACCAGAACTAGGGAATCAGAAAAGTGTAAGAAAATTGCCAGGTGTCACTAATTAATACAGTTAGGTGAAGGCAAACTCGAGGGATCATTATTCGACTTTTAAACATATGTTTGAAAATTTGACAATGAAATTGTGTGGTGTAAGCATATAATTTGAAATTATAGAAGTTAAAAAAGTGTGAAAATAAAAATTTAGAAATAATCACTCAGGAAGTGTTGTACCAAAGAGAGGCGAATGGAGGAGATAGTGGGAAAGGAGTTAGGGAAGACTGCTGTTGTTCTTTGTTTTTAAGCTTTTCATTAATATTTTATTATTATTTTCCATCTGCCATATATACATATTAACACTTTTTAAACAAAATGAGTTTCAACTATGTCATGTTTTCAACCCAGTGTATGTGCTGATGTGGTCTTGCATGGTCTTATCCTGAATATTTTCCACATTGTCTGTCTTCTTGCTCTTCTCTCCTCCCCTCTCCTAGCCATGATGTGCATCTTCCTGTGATGTTTCCATGCCTCTTCTTCTACAGAGACTTCTCCCTTCCCCTGGTCTTTCCTCATCTCTTCCTGGCCTTCCCTCCACAAATGGGTGGAGAACTTCTGGGCTTCCTCTCTGGTAGAACAACAGCAAGTCAACTAAACACATATTAATTTTTAGAATTATATTTTAAGATATAAGGAACCATAGTATGTAATTTATGTTTATCATTGGAAATTGAAACACCTTCATTTTTTTCTGTTAAGTATTCAATGTTTTTTAAGGAGACTTTAAACATGAGTGGTCTGAAATCTTTTTGAAATGTCATTCATCTCAACTTATTTTATGTTAGCTAAATGTCAGTAAAAAAAATCAGTTTAAAAATCAGTTCTGTTTAATGTTGCGTTTAATGAATAAAATCCTGAAAGAAGGACATGTATCCTTTGGGCCACATACAAAGAAAACCATGTTCAACATCCTTAGCAATCAGGGTGATGCAAAAACTAATCTACACTGAGATCGCAGCTCACTCCAGTTAGAGTGAATGCAAATAAAAATAAATGTTGGAAGGAAGTGGAGGGAAAGGTATGTTACATTACATTGTTGTTGGAACTACTAATCAGTACAACCATTCTGGAAAGTAGAATGGAGATTCCTCAACAGACTGGGAATGGAAACACCAAATGTCCCAATTATATCACTCTTATCCAAAAATAAAATACAATCAGCATACTATAGTGATAAATGTATACCAATATTTATAGCAGCACAATTCACATAACCAATTTACGGAATAAGACTGGCTCTCCATTAGCAGTCGAATGGATTTAAAAATATGGCATATGTACACAATACATTTTTATTCAACCACAAAGAAAAATGAATTGTGCCATTTGCTGGTAAGTGGATGAAACAGGAGAATCTCATGCTAAGTAAAATAAGCCAGACTCAGAAAGTCAGAAGTTGAATGTTTTCTCTCACATGTGGAAGCTAGAGAAAGAGAGTCCAGGGAGCCAGAGGGAGGTGTTTTGCCTCTTCATGAAAGTGTGTTTTCCCCTTCATAAAAATGGAAGATAAACCTGTCGAGTAAGGGAAGGGAATCAGGAGAGAGAGGGAGGGATGGGGAAGTCCTGGGAAACAAAGTCTACCAAATTATTCTATGTCCATGTATGACTATACCACAATGAATCTGCTTATTTATAATTATAATGTACTCATTGAAGGAATAATAATAATATTAATAATAATAATAAAAGATCAGAGGCAGGGAGAAAGGGAAGGTACTGGAAAATGAGACTGATCTAATTATATTTTATGCATGTATGAATATGGCATAATGAAAACCACTATCATGTAAAATTATAATTCATCAAATCAGAAAGAAAGAAAGAGAGAGAGAGAGAAAGAAAGAAAGAAAGAAAGAAAGAAAGAAAGAAAGAAAGAAAGAAAGAAAGAAAGAAAGAAAGAAAAAGATTAAAGCGCCACTAGGAGGCGCTAAGCTGGGCTGAGAGACTTTTCCTAATGGACCTAAAGGCACTGTGAGCTGGCAGTCACAGCTCGGAAAGGATTGTAAATCCAAACTCAAACCTGTATTCTTAAGGTTTTCTTTTGGTGGGGGCAGATCTTAGCCTAGAGGCCATCCATCTGGCCATGCCCTCATGCTTCATGCTCCCATACAGCCCAGGATTTCCCTCACACACCAGCCAGTGTGCAATTTCGCTTTCCCACTGCATAGAGACTTCAGAAGAGCAGGGATCAGATGTTTATTATTCACAGCTGCATGCACAGCCCCAAGCACGGAACTGTCTCCTGTTAGTCTTGCTGTGGGTATTACTTACACTAACACATTCCTAACAAGACTGAAGAGTAATGGAAAAGACCAGAAGAGGAATACTGAGTGCTGTACCTACTCACTGTGTTAAAAAGGCCTCAATTATTATCCTTACTTAGGAAGATGCTTTCACTCTCCCACAAACTTCAGTGGAATGAGAACCATTCTCTGTATCTTCTGAATATAGGCTGCAATGTGAGGGTAATTTTTCCATCAATTCTTGTTTCCCCTTTTATCAGGACCCTAATTTCCAGAGTTTCTTCTGTGTTTTGAGAAATAACTGATTATTTATCTAAATTTTTCAGGCCCTAATTTTTCTGGGCTTCATCTGTCCTATATTTCTATGTCAATTCCTCTCTACTAATTAACATTTCTAGCCAAAGTGAAATAGCCAAAGTGAACTCTGATGTAAATACTTTATTTTGAATGGACATTTTCCTTCTTCTGCCATATTATTATATTCTGTAACAGATATTTATCCCACCATAAGAATCATGCCAATGTTTTCTCTCATATGAAAGTGGAATGGAATCTTCTGGGGAAGGAAAAGGGGACGGGGGATGGGGAGTAGCAGAGGGTTAAGAAAGGGCCATCAGGAGGTTGGATACAATCAAAGTTCATTTTATGCAGGCACGAAATCTTTACAATGAAAATTATTATTCTGTACAATTAATATACATGAATAATTCTAATTTTAAAAGCCATAGGAGAGAATGAGGGCAAATTCAGTGGGACTACAACATGTATAAGAGGGTGGTGGGAAATCACACCACAAACACAAGCTACCATCATGTGGTGGAGAGCCTTGGATGCTGATGTGAATATACCGTAATTGTTCACATCAGTACTTGCTTTCTTCCTGTATATTAAGTTTATTTTTTTATAGTAGAGTGTATTTTGACATGTTATACTTATATGGAGTATAACTTATCTGAAATAGGATCCCATTCGTGTAGTTGCACATGATGTGGAGTTTCACTGGTTGTATGCTCATAAAACATAGGAAAGTTATGTCCAACTCATCCTGTCCTTCACATCAGTATTTTCATAGTTTGAAAAATTAAAATCATTACTTTTATAGTTTACAAAGAGAATCATGACAAATTAAGAAAAAAAAAAACATTCAAATCTTTTTATAGGACTTCCCAACTGTAAAGCAAGACAGCTGAGATG